CGAGAGAATAAATCATTTAGGTCAAAGGGTGAGAAAATAAGGCACGCTTGGGTCGCCAAAATAGGATCCTCCATTTTTTCGGTTCGTGGTGGATATTTCGAGCATATGCAGCGTCGTTAAGTGCAAAGAAGCTCATCAGCTTATTAAACAACAGAGTAACTTGGACGAGGTGCTCCAGCGCCAGCAGCAACGGTTGCACGCGCGCCACTCTCTTTTCCACTCGGAATTCTATATTCCTATGGAAACAGATGGCCATAGTTGCGATCTAGCAGGAGCTCTGCTCGACGACCGATTTCCGTCACTGATTTTCCCCTTACTACCATTGGAAGACAGTTGCGAGATCAAGAGATTTATGTCCTGCTTGGTACACAACCTAATGTTATGTATCATTTCTTTCACCCCTCCTACATCAGCGTTAGTAGTTTAGTGGCAAAATCGCTGCCTCCCACGCAGCGGCCCCGGGTTCGATTCCCGGCTGACGCACCTGTGCCTCGTTCAGCCTGTGGTGCGGCGAACGAGAGCAGAGATTTCAGTATTTCGGGGAACCTCTGCTGAGCGCATGGTTAGCAAATGTCGAATCTAAAATTTGTTAGACCCCGATTAAACAAATTGTGCTTGTTTGCAAACGAAAGTCATCAATTCTGACAATCTGTGGTTGCAGGATATCTGCGAAGGGGAAGTGTTCAAATGGAGGCCCAAAGGCACTGTGTCGCTGCTGGAAAGCTCAAACCATATCGGATCTCGTGCGCTTGAAACTATGGTACTGGTTGGCGTTCGATCCTCTCTACCAGTCGCATGGAGTAGTAGACCTAGGACGCTTTGTCCTTCTCACCAGGCGATCTACCAATTATTTTGGGGGGAAGCGCAAAGCACGCCAAACCTTGCCTGGACTCGTCGCCAACCCCGCCAGCCTCCCAGCGATAGCCACCCCACCAATTACTGAATACTCCGCCGCAGTGGTTGGAATGGGATCTATGAAAGAACGGCGGATAAGAGGAAATAAATATTATTGCGCATCATTCGCAGTGTTGACCCGCGCCCCACCCGCCCGCGAGCAGTGGCGCTTTCGCTCCGCAGACCTCCTGACGTGATCTGCAATCTCGAATTCCTCCATCAAAAGGAGCACATTTGCAACGAATGGAGATAACGCTGCCTCGGCAGGCAGTCGGAGGCTCCGCGAGTCCCGCGCTTCCGCGATGGCGGGCTCGGTGTTGTTTCGAGGAAATATTGCAATTGCGCGAACGAGGGCCGGCGGCAGCAAAAGATTGCGCCATTTATTTTTGCATCGCGACATACTTGTATTTGCACCACACCACCAACCAGAAAGCGGAGTTTACTCTGCCGCCGCTGGGTGAGCCCCACGCACATCCGCCCCCGCCCGCATCGCATCGCATCAGCATCGCCTGCTACCCACTGAATATAAAGAGTGCGCACTCCCTTCCTACCGCCCCACTCTGCCCGCGCGCACATCAGTCCCAAAGGCTTTCCCTAACCCGCATAGCACATGCCCTCCGACACCGCCACCGCCACCACCGCCACCGCCACCAACGGCACCACGGCCAACGGCACCAGCGCGCACCCGCCGCGGCCGCATCCATCATCGCGCCCCAACTTCCTGGTCATCGTCGCCGACGATCTAGGCTTCAGCGACACGCAGCCGTTCGGCGGGGAGATCGCGACGCCTAACCTGCAGCGGCTGGCCGCGACCGCCGGCGCGCTGCGGTTCACGGGCTTCCACACCGCGTCGGCGTGCAGCCCGACCCGGGCGATGCTGATGAGCGGCACGGACAACCACCTCGCGGGTCTGGGGCAGATGGCCGAGACCATCAACAGGGTGCCGGCGTACCAGGGCCACGAGGGGTACGAGGGCGTGCTGAACGATCGCGTCGCCGCGCTGCCCGAGCTGCTGAAGGACGCTGGATACTATACCGTCATGTCGGGCAAGTGGCATCTGGGCCTCACCGAGGAGTCGTCGCCGGCCGCGCGCGGGTTCGACAAATCGTTTGCGCTTTTGCCGGGTGCCGGAAACCACTGTGAGTTGGGGGCTTCATTGGCTAACTATATTCTCAAAAGCGCATCGCTTACTGGATCCTCCAACACCCAACCCTCTGTTTACCTTCCTCCAGACGCCTACGAGCCAGTCGTATCGAACGGCGAAGGCCCAACCATCAAGATGCTGCCCCCGCTGTACGCCGAAAACGGGCGCAAGCTGCCCCTCGACGAGCTTCCTCGCCCCTTCTACTCCTCGGACGTTTTCGCCACCAAGCTGCTGCAGTACCTCGACGAGGGCGACCCGGCGCAGCCCTTCTTCGCGTACCTCCCGTTCACGGCCCCGCACTGGCCGCTCCAAGCGGACGAGGCGTACGTCGCAAAGTACGCCGGCCGCTACGACGCCGGGCCGCGCGCCCTGCGGCTCGAGCGGCTCGCCGCGCTGCACCGCCTCGGCCTTGTGGACGCGGGGGTCGCGGCTCACCCCGTCACCAACGTCTTTGGCACCGCGGACTGGGACGCTCTTGACGCGGCGGGGCGTGCGCGGTCGGCGCGGCTGATGGAGATCTACGCGGCGATGGTCGAGCAGATGGACTCCAACATCGGGCGTGTGCTAGACTGGGTGGAGCGGGCGGGCCAGCTGGACAACACGTTTGTGATTTTCATGTCGGACAACGGGGCGGAGGGAGCGCTGCTGGAGGCGCTGCCGATCCTCGGGGAGCAAGTGCAGCGGGCGATCGCGGCGCATTACGACAACTCGTATGAGAACCTGGGGCGGGCGAACAGCTTTGCGTGGTACGGGCCGGAGTGGGCTCAGGCGGGGACGGCGCCGTCGCGCATGTACAAGGCGTGGATCACGGAGGGCGGGATCCGGTGCCCGCTGCTGCTGAGCTGGCCCGCGGGGCTCGCCGGGAAGCGGCGTGGCGGCGACCACGGTAGCGGCGGCGTGGTGCACGAGTTTGCGACGGTGATGGACATCTTGCCGACGTTCCTGGACCTCGCGGGTGCGCGGCACCCTGCGCCTGGTCCGTATCGCGGCCGCGAGAAGGTGCTCGCGCCGCGCGGTCGCTCTTGGCTGCCGTTCCTGACGGGAGAGGCTGCCGCGATCCACGACCCGAACGCGGCTACGGGCTGGGAGTTGTTTGGCCAGCGCGCGGTACGGCAGGGCGACTGGAAGGCCGTGTTCATTCCCGGGCCGCTCGGCCCGGACCGGTGGCAGCTGTACAACCTCAAGGACGACCCTGCCGAGCTGGAGGACAGGGCCGAAGAAGAGAAGGAACGCCTGGACAAGTTGATTGAGCTGTGGGCGCTGTATGTTGCTGAAACGGGAACTGTGCTGCCGAGCAAGGAGACGATTGCGGCGAGACCGGGGTTCGGACCGAGATGAGGAGGTTGGGAGGACTTGCGTGGTTACAAGCTCTTTTTCTATGCACCGTTTTTCTTTATCTTGCAATCAGTTGTCACGGCTTGGACTCGTACTGTGTTTGAAAGTTTTCATTTCATGATTGAAATAGTAAATTCTGAAAGTAGTACTCGCTCATATGCATCCATCCAACTTTTTTTCGGGGAATCTGCATGTTGTCGCATCGCCACTGGTTTGCTGACAGGCGTATTTAAAACGAACTGCACTAGACGAGGGGAAAGCTGGACGTCAGGCAACTGATCTCCTCGACGCCACTCATGCAAGCGTCCAGAGCGACGCGGGGAAGGAAAAAAGCACTCAGGAGCTTGTTCGTGGCGGGCGTGGTGCTTGGGGTGGGCCATCAACCGACTGCACGTACTGACAGACTGACGAGAGACGACTGCTTGCGGCTGTCAGCTGCAGGGGAAAAAGGTCCTGCCTACGAATCTAAACAGCGAACTCAGCGAAGAAGCTACCGCCCTCCCCCCACCACACCTTGCGAGTCGATTCACATCCTCTCAATCTGACGTACACCCCCAGAAAAAGCGAGCACCCCCTCCGAAGACAGCAGAAATGAAGCTTGACCTCCTCCTACCAGCCCGCTTCGGCCTCCTTGCCGTCGTCCCAGCCGCCACCGCCACCGCGAAGGCCCACAACACGGACCACCTTACAGCGGGCACCCCCATCAACGCGCCATCGCGCTCGCCCGTCGCGCCCTGCCAACACCCCCACCCCGAAGCTCCAGCGCAAAGCCCGCGAGTCCAGTCGAGCTGGGCCAGCTGCGGCGACAAGCGCTTCCCAGAGGCGTTCCCGAAAAAGCCGTCCGCCAAAGGAAAAGAAAAAGTCGTGCCCGGTCGACCCGAACAGGCGCGAGGTACCGCCGCGAGACCAGTCGCTGTGGCCGTTCAAGGTGAAGGGGATGAATGCGGTGATGATTGCCGAGGATGTGTTGGGTGAACTTGATGACGATGCGGTCGACGACGGGTGGAGGTGCGCGGTGCATTGCCGGCCGGATCGAAGAGGCCGGCGGGTTCGTCGACCGCGGCTGCAAGCCTCTGGCGCAAGAGGAGCGCGGGAAAAACAGGGAGAGGAAGAAGAAGAGGATGCAGTTCAAGGCGAAGAGGGCCACGAGGCGGTAAGAGGTGTTAGAAACTCGCTAGCCGGATTTTTTGTCTTGATTGATCCACCCCCCCATTCGTTATGAAGCCACGCACGCATCGAGGAGCTTGTGGACGATGATATGACTGAGCGAATTTGGCGATGACGGGTTTGACGGTGAGGAGGTCGAGGTCGTGGAGGATGAATTTTATGACAACGATTAATTTTCGCGATGATGTTGAACCATGCTGGCTGCCCTGTCGTTCTTACGTCATTAAACAAGAGATGTTTGTCTGGAACGTATTTTTTTTTTTTTTTTTTTTTTTTTTTTTGTTTTCCCTCTCTGAGAGAACTTCATCTCCGGCAGAATAGCTGCTCCACAGTCGGACTTCTGGTGGCACGTCCCAGTCAAAAGAAACCGGTGAACGCCTTCAACGGCGCAGTCTACTGTTGAAAGCTTTGCTGCTGTTAGTTTACTTTATAATAGTTGTTGATCCCACGATCATCAGCAGCGTTAGTAGTTTAGTGGCAAAATCGCTGCCTCCCACGCAGCGGCCCCGGGTTCGATTCCCGGCTGACGCAAGGGTTCTTACGCCCACTATTGTTTCGATAACTCTGAGTGAGCATGGCACACTCCAGAGCGTGAGCGTGCGAAGGAGATAGTATGTCCTCCCATCTTTCGGAAGTGCGCTCACCGAGCCGTTCCACTTTCTTAAGCATTGAGAAGGGGGGCATTTGGTGGAAGGAAGTTTTGCGAAAAGGATTCGTCGCGAACGGAGGAGGAGAGTTTTTGGGTGACCGGTTGCACTATTTTTCGTTCAAACCCACCCTTTTTTTTGATTGATGCGGAATCCAGCGTTCCTTGCACACCTTTCTCGGACGGAAGTGCTACCGAAGGTGACCCGGAACTTTGACGCTTATCAAGAACGACGTTGATAGGACTTCAAAAACAAGAAGCCAGGCCGAGGACCTTGACCAAAAGAACTCTGGAATGAATAAAAGGGACGGACGCGACCCACCCACGACGCTCTCTACTTGGATCGAGCACAAAAGACCTTCACTCTCAAGAACTCCGCAGCCCAAAGTTAACATTCGCACAGACCCTAATCTAAGAAAACTTGAGACGCCCAGCCCCCAAACCAAAAAGACATTAGGGAAACCTGCGCAGAATGTCGTGAGAAAAGAGAAAAGGTCTGGTGCCCGCGTTTCTACCTTCCTCACAACCAACACGATCCAAAAAAAGAAGAAAAAAAAAAAAAAAAAAAAAAAAAAACCTCCAACAATGCAGCCTTGGCCGACGGTTTGGAACGAACGAACAAAGAAGTCCAGTCCCTGAACACTCTCAGGCTTCCCGACCTGGGCCGGAGCCTCGTTACCCTCTGCAGTAAGGATGACAAGACGAAAATCGACGCTGCCACGAACCTCACTTGCATGGAAGCTCCCACCACATCTCAAGACTCAAGAAAAACCACAAACGGGGCCCGTGGCTTCCTCAACGAGAATTTCATTACAATTCTCATTGATGGTGAAGACAACCCAAACTACATTAGGGAAGACCTCGTTACCATAACGAGAAAAACGATATGCGTCCCTTTGCCCTTCACTTCCGGCGACTGGATGGGCTCACCACTCTTCTAGTCACTAAACGTATGAGGACCTTTCGAGAGAGCCGGCTAAACTGTTTCGGTGACGTGTCTGATGCACACTTGTCAAGCGAGATGGCCAGTGCCCGTTTTACGACTCCGCAACACTCGCGCATAAAATCGTAAAAACGAGTTCCTTTTGAACTTGATAATATATTCCTGTTTGAGGCTTGAGAGAGGTAGAGAGAGAGACGAAATGGTGAGGGCTTGCCTCACCCTTCCTCTCTCTCTACCTCTCTCGCTCCACTTCCGCGCTCCTCTGTCTCGATCAATCAATCAACCGAACGAGGGGCGGCGGAGTGGCCGGCAGGGTAAGGAACAAAGCAAAGCAAAAAGAAGAAGAACAGCCAAGGTATATCGTTCAAAAGTTATACGACTCGTTAGAGAGAGTGAGAGACAGAGAGGCTAAGAGAGAAAGAGAGAGTAGTAGACTGCTGAGGCGTTTCGAGTGAAAACAGGTCATGTCCTTGAAAGAGAGAGAGGCGTTGAGAGTACGGTCGGGGCAAGGTGGGCGAGAGGGAACGAACAAGACGAATGGATGGGATCGAGCGAGTGACGAAACAGAAAGAAGATGCTTGCGATGCGATCCGGAGGACTCGGATCCCTCTTTTTCCCTCCCGCTTCCGGTTTCCGGTCTGTTCTTTCTTTCACAGATCCACTCCCAACCCAAGCCCATGCTGCGCCGGCGCCGACTCGTGCGCATGCTGCTGCTGCTGCTGCGCCGCAGGCTTGACCGGCGGGTGCCTCGGCCCGGTCCCGGGCGCCACCTCGGTCGTCGCAACGCCGGCGGCCGCCGCGCGTCTCGCGGCCTCCTCCTTTCCGTGCTGCGCGCCGTGCGCCATCCGCGCGCCGGTCGCCCTCACATCGATCTCGGCCACCTCGCCACTGCCCGCCCCGAGGCCGGGGCTACGCAGCGACGGCGACGGCTGGTGGTGGCTGTGCGCGGACCCGCGGACCTGGTACACGAGCGACGGGGACCCCGGGATGGTCGGGCTCTTCTGGGCAAACGACAGCTTCGGGCTCCCGCTGCCGCCGAGGGTCGGCGACTTTGGGTGGCCAGCGGGGTACGCCGGCGGGTGCCTCGGACCGGCGGTGGCGGGTTGGATCTCGGTCGACTCGACGGTCGCGGCGGCGGCGCGGAGGGCCGACTCTGTGGCGGAGTGCTGTGCGTTGTGGGCCATGCGGGGGCCGGTGTGGCGGACGTCGATGGGGTGGGTGTCGGCGGCGGCGGCGTGGATCGAGGCGCGCTTGTTGGAGATAGCAGCCTCGAGGGTCGGGGAGGGGTGACCGCCGCCGCGGACCTGGTAGACGGGGCTGGAGGGGGTGGGGCCGCCGCCGCCGAGGATGTCGGAAAGGGCGGGCGAGCCGGGAGTTGCGCCGAGGGAGGGGGATTTGGGGTGTCCACTGCCGAGCATTTGTTCTTTGTAGTGTGTGTGTGAGGGTGTGTGTGTGTGAGTGTGATGGAGAGTCGCAGAAGTTTGGTAGAAGGTAGAGTAGGCTACGAGGTGCTGCTGCGGTCGCTTTGCTGGAGGGTGCTGGGAGAAAGCGGGGGCGGCCGGATTTATACAGCGAGGAGCGTTTTTGTTCGTTTCAATGCGAAGGAGAAAAAGAATTCAGAGGGAAAAAAAAGAAAAGAAAAAAAGAAAAAGAAAAATGACGAAAAAAAGACGAGAGGAGAGAACAGAAACGAAAGAGAGAGAGAAAGCACGCACGCACTCTCAAACAGACGAGAGAGGGCGGCAGACAGACCAACGACCTGGCCGCGTGATTCACGTTGATGATGAATGATGGACCGACCAATCAAGAGTGTAAGACAGACAGACGGACAGACAGACACCCCTATAGCCTGACAGGCAGACAGACAGACAGAAGAAAATAAAAATTTTTTTTTTCTTCGTTGTTTCAGCTGCGACATAGGGCTTTTCCAGGGGTTTGTTTCCTTGGTAAAAACTGCAAACCCCAAAGAAGAAAAGAAAAAAGAAGAAGAAAAAAAAGAAAGAAGATTGATCATACGGCTCCCTCCCAATCAGGGGGCAGGGGTTGGTTGCTTGGGACCCAATCAGCTCGAAAACGGCAAGAGATCATCGCCAGCCAATCAATCATCTTCGTTCGATTCGAGAGAAGCGGGGAAAAGCACTTCGATTCCGGTTCGATTTCAGACGTTTCCCCACTCCGGCGCGTAACACTCACCTCGCCTCCCCCAAGCCGTTCGTTCACTGTGAAGGTTTTGCAAGCAAGCAACTCGTTCCCGTGAGACCGCGAGAGACAGAGAGAGACAGCCAGAGAGAGGGAGAGACAGAGAGAGACAGAGAGAGAAAAGGATAGGGGTAAAATCAGGTTGGGCTTGCATGGCCGTAGCCGGCTGTTGAGCTGCATTTCGAATGATCCGCCAGCCGTCGCAGAGAGAGACCGAAAGTGAGAGAGAGAGAGAGAGAGAGACCTCCGCCTAAGCACAAACCCGGGTCCGCCGCTTTGGACAAACCCAAAAATGAGAAACAAAAGGGTAAAGTCGCCGTACGTGTGTGTGCGCGGTGTATCTGCACGTGTAACGGGCCCGTGCCGGCTCACAAAACAAGAAGGAAAAAAAAAAAAAAAAAAAAAAAGAAGCTGATTGACAGCTTAGCGGTTCAACCCCGAACCAATGCAGCAAAAGGCACGCTCGTTCATGGACGGGAAAATAAAAAAAAAAACCGTCTCTTCAACCCGCCCAAAACCTTCCCACCCCCCACGCTACCTTTGCTGCGGGTGACGTATGACGACGGGACTACCCCCATCCAAAACCCCCAAAAAGCATTAAGAAACAAAAGAAAAAGGGGCTCGACCAACACAACCGCCCCTCAAACCAAAGGGGCCAAGCTGGATCACAACACCTCAGGGGGTGGTTTTTTTTTTTTTTTTTTGGCTCCCCTTGATGTAACTACTTGGGTTTCCCACCGTCGGCGGGGGGGCGTTTTCCATTCTTTCTCGTTCTTGCGTGGGGAACGGTAAAAAAAAAAACAAAAAATGAATCAAAAAGAGGAGAGAGTGAATAATACGTTTGGTGGGGGATGGAGGGAGGGAGGGGCTGTGGTTTCTACCCATAGAAGAAACGAAAAAAATTGGCGAAGGACTAGTGGGGAAGTTTAAATGGGCATTTTATGGGGGAAGCGGTTCAAGCAAGGACGGAAAAAGCCCAAACCAAAAGGCCCGATCCATCCAAAAAAGGCCCCCAGACGGGCTGGAGCTGGCCCGCCCTCGCAAAAGCAGACCAGAGCGAAAGGTGGGGAAAACGAAGGGCGAGGAGGGAAAAAAAAAGAAAGAAAACGAAAAAGTAAACGAGGAAAGCAGCACTCCCCGCAAAACGGAACGCAGTCTCTCTTTGGTTATCCCCCACCCACACCCTTACGTCTGAAAGCACAACACATCAAAATGATCCCTCACCACCACCTCCCTCCCGCCAATAGCGAACAACGCGCCCCCCAAATGCTCCCCACACTTGCCGACCGCCACAGTCCTCCCCTGTCCCAGGTTATGCCAATCGACGACGGCGCCCTCGGCGAGCTGCACCGGGGTCCACCCGATATTGATTCCGGCCAGCTTCTGGCGCTCGAGGAGGACCCTCGCGACGTAGAGGAACTGGGAGGGGTCCTCTTCGACGCCGGCGCGGAGCGGGTTGGGCGGGATGCGGCCGCCGGGGAGGCAGGGGACGAAGCGGAGGCCGCGGGTGGAGCCGAGGAGGGTGTGGCCGTATTTGATGGGGAGGGAGCGCGAGTTGTAGGGGATGCGCGGGTAGGAGGGGTCGACGGCGGGTGCTGCGGCTGGGGGCGGTGGCGGGGTTGCGGGTTGTGAGGTTGCCGGTGCGGAGGGTCCGCCGCCGCCGCGGACGAGGCCGCCAAAGAGGTTGGTGACGGAGCCGGCGCGGAAGCCCTTTTGCTGCTGCGGCTGCTGTTGTTGCTCCTG